TTCATTACACAAAATGATTGGGATAATCATATACCATCCGGGTGCTGAAATAACTCTTTCGAATAATTCTTATTTATTAAGGATAGTAAAATGATTTCGGTGGTAATGAGGATGACGAGTGCGGTGTTTAGTCGGCCTGTCTCGATTATGTATGCGAGACACCGTGGGTGGGGAAGATTGTCACCACTGTTGAGCATCTGGAATGGAGTGCGCGCACTCCGTGCAAGGTGGGATGGGAAAGAGTTTGCGCATACAGAAAGACGAAGACAGAAGAGCTCAGAGAGAGAGAGAGAGAGAGAGAGAGAGAGAGAGAGAGAGAGAGAGAGAGAGAGAGAGAGAGGGAATATAGAGCAGGAGATAGGATCGACGGAGATAAACATAGAAGGAAGCCTTGCCGCTGGTCCTCGAGGCTAACCGAAGTGGAAGCAACGAAGTGGGGAAAACAGACTTACCCTTACCACTATTATAGATACTGACAATGTGGTAGAATACATAAGGAGAGAGAAAAGACCATATCGTCCGAGGATCATTTGCGTGTTTACAGAGAGGTCTTTTTCGTTGATATCAGATTGTCTATCAAATCGGAGCTATTACGTTACTATCGTCGTTTCACCTCGTTTTGTTTAGTTCATTCCTCACACCGTACCGGTTCAAGAATCTAATCGTTATTATCGTCGCGCGATCGGTGATAATAAATGTATAACATGGTATTTGATTGTGCACAGTCATTTATCTTGTAAACCAAATTGATCGCGAACAAATCTGTCTTAATCATGTGCTTCTTTTCGTATATTCGATCGTTGTCTAGATATATATATTCATGAATTCTATCCGATATCTATTTAGCGATTGTGATCGCTGATTGTAGATCGCGTGAGTCTGCCGACGTGTACTCATACACCGGTTGAAAGTTCGCGCCATCGCTACATGTATGAAAAAAGCGTGTGTATGTGTGTGTAGAATTGGAGTTTCGGAGATGAAACAAAAAGAGAGAAAGAGAAATATACGTTGAGAGAGAGAGAGAGAGAGAGAGAGAGAGAGAGAGAGAGAGAGAGAGAGAGAGAGAGAGAGAGAGAGAGAGAGAGACAGAGAAAGAAAGAGGGAGGGGAGGGGGAGAGAGAGAGAGAGCGCTCCCTGGGTGGGAGGGAGAGAAAGGAGGAAGAGAGAAACAGAGAGACGTGATGGCGAATGAAACAGAAGGAAGGGAGAGAGTGCCACGCGACGATGAGACGGACGAACAAAGACGGAAGCGACGAGCCGGTCGAGGCGGGACGACAGCGGCGTAGAGTCGTTCGCGGGGCATAGAACGGCGATGAGAGGATAGTGTGTTTGGCGAGAGATGCGTGGGGGAGGGAGGGGGGGGGAGGCAGAGCATGAGGCCAAATGACGACACGCGCGAGCCGTCAGGGCCGTATCGTACTCCACCGTACTCGAGAGCACGCGACGTACGTCGGTACGTTGGTACGTCCTGCGAACTTGAAAGCTAAGCCGCCGGCTTATTGTCGGTCGCGCGAATGCTCTGGCCGGACTTCGTGCCGTCTCAAGACAGTCGCTGAGGACTTCTTATTTAAGGAAAACAAAAAAGTCAAATAATGTCACAATTTGACGTCACATTAATCGTTTATTGACCAAAAATTATGTCATTTTTTTTTAGTATGATTCAGTTAATGTAATGTGACATTATTTTGACTTTCTTATTTTTCTTAAATTGCAAAGTACATTTCTTTCCTCTTTTACTCTCTCTAGAGATTATTCTCTCTAGAGTTTATTCAACGACAGTTTCCTATACAAAGATCAAGCATATTTGCTATACTGTAATGACATTGTGAATTTAAAAAAGATATAATGATTGATTGTGAGGCTTTACCTTGTGAATAATATACTTTATCTACGCATATTATATTATATATTTTATATATATATATATATATATATATATATATATATATATATC